TCACTCACTCACTCACACACACACACACACACACACACACACACACACACACACACACACACACACACACACACACACTCACTCACTCACTCACTCACACACACACACACACACACACACACACACACACACACACACACACACACACACACACACACACTCACTCACTCACTCACTCACACACACACACACACACACACACACACACACACACACACACACACACACACACACACACACACTCCTGTTCACAAACAAGTAAAAAAACCTCAAATAATTTCTTCTCAGTCCAGCTGTGATGTCATCAGAAACACAACACAAACAAAAACGAAACAACTGCACAACTGAACATCGGAACATTAATATCAGCTCGTGGTTTGCAAAAATTATGAACACATGGCAAATGAAATAGAGAGTGAAGCATAGGCTTATATTTTCAGTGATTTATAAAAACATACTGCAACTTTCGAAACTCAAATCCACAGTGAAGGAAAGAGCATTTACTGAAACTAAACGGCAAAAACGTCTCGTCCAAAAATACATTTACACGTCAATAGTACGGATTCAAATGTCTCAATGGACACGTACACACTTGCTCAGCAATGGATGCTCTGCAGTGAATGGGTGCCGTCAGAATGAGAGTCCAAACAGCTGATAAAAACATCACAATAATCCACAAGTAATCCACAGCACTCCAGTCCATCAGTTAACATCTGGAGAAGTGAAAATCTGCATGTTCTGCACGTCTGGAGGAAGCGTTATTATGGATTATGGACTCGTATTTGAGTTAAAAACGTCTTAATGCTGGATTAGTTTCAGCTTTTGTCTTCTCCAGATGTTAACTGATGGACTGGAGTGCTGTGGATTACTTGTGGATTATTGTGATGTTTTTATCAGCTGTTTGGACTCTCATTCTGACGGCACCCATTCACTGCAGAGCATCCATTGATGAGACACTGATGCAATGCTACATTTCTCCAAATCTGATGAAGAAACAAACTCATCCTAATCTTGGATGAACTGAGGATGAGCACATTTTCATTTTTGGGTGACCTATCGCTTTAAATGACATATTTCAGTGGTGCAAGTAAATCACAGGGAAAAAGGAATGAGTCTTGACTGTTGGCAGATCTTGTTAGGAAAAAAAATAATAACTCCAAATGCTTTATATTGCAAATAAGATAATAAGATAAGATAAGAACCTGCACCTTCCCACTTTAATAACTTCATATTCTGGAACGCTTTATGAGCAAAGCCCAAACAACAAGCCAAAAGATGCTTATAATAAGTGCCAACGTAAACTAAATCAAGAATGTTCTGGTGCAAGAAATCTTGAGAAAGTCTTCAGACTGAATCCACGCGGCCAACAGTTTATCTGTCCTCACATAACACACGCTCACTGTCTCTCTGCTCATTAGGAATATTCACACATCTGGTGCTGATTTCCTGCTGCAGGCCTGAGAAACTCATCCAGTCTGATCTCCACTGACTCAGACACAAACACACACAACAACGCCTTTACTTTCTAGCATTGGGAGACATTATGTTTTCAAATGAACACACTGCAATATTGCATTGGTCCTAAAAAGGAAACCAGTTATGCAACATAATTCATTTTTATGCAAAGTAACACAGACTCCCTGATACCCCACACACACAAAACTCAAAATCTCAAGGTCTGTAATTCAGTACAGATGCTGATATGATCTGATGACTGATGTAAATACATGCAATAATCTAATTATCTAACACTCAGACTCAGGTGAGGTCGAGGTAGAGCGCGTCACCTGTGAAGAGTTTGGTGATGTGTTTGTTCTGCCGGCGTGTCGAGCAGATGAGCAGCAGCCAGGGCGGGAAGAGCTCGTGATGGGCAGCCAGCAGCTCGGCGATGTTTGCTGACCTCTGATCTCTGTCTCCGGTCAAACAGCCCTCGTCCACTGAGTCCAGTAGCACAAACAGAGCCTGAGACGGAGTCTTACAGCCCAGCAGCGGCAGCAACACACACCTGAGAGACAAACACACACACACACTTTTTGTTCAAATAACATTTAAAAATCACAAAATAGAAGAACTGTCAGATTCAGCAAGTTATTTGTTAGTTATTCAGAAATCAGTTTTATTTTTTCCCCAAATTTTGTATTTTCAGTTTTCTTGATTCTGCTTTAATGTTTTTTGTTATTTAGTTTAAATATTTTGGCAAACAAAGTGCTACACAACAGAGCTTCACTGTATAAATTCAATGAATGGATGAAAAATGGTGTTATTCCTTAAATAAATAACTATATTACATTATTAATAACAACAATAATAATCAAATTATTATTGTTAGCTTTATTACTTCAAGAAGTGCATTCTACTGTGCAACAGTGATATATTTCTGTCACAATTTCTTCAAGTTAAACGTATTTTGACCGGTTGTGGTGAAGATCCTTCTAGTTTCTGTGTGTCTATAATGATAGTTTTCTCAAATGAAAAGGTGTAAAGCTGCTGAGTCTCAGAGCAGCTCTGGAGATGAAGTTCATGTGTTCATATCCTCATCATGCATCACGTGTGCTTCAGTATGTTTATTAGACAAAACAGACACGCACGACATGCAGACATTTACACAGCAGTGCTTATGAGCTTTAATATTCAGACACTAGTTTATAACGGGATTTTAATAAGTGTACAGCCCTACTTTTGATTTATCCAAAAACTGGCCTAATTCCGTGATATTCTGTGTTATAAATTCCATTTTCATGACTCACTCTCATCAGCTCTGTTGACTCATGTGTTTGTCCACTCATGTCCTGTTTGTTTCTGTCATTATAATCGCACACAGTTAAATGGACTCGATCATCGCTGCTGGAGTCACTGCCATCTGATCACTGCAGAAGACTGACATGAGGTTTTGTTTGTTTTTAAATCTGATATTTGTACAGTAAGATCATGACTAATGTGCACATGTGTCTGATCTCATCGGTCTCTACACAACCAGCAGAGATGAAGCAGTCAGATCACTCATCATATCACTGCTCCATTATTCTAATACTGTATATGTGACCGATCACACAGATGAGTCTGAATGTGGCGGTTCACAGAGTCTCATTCGGCCCACGTCACACACACATTAACAGAGCAACGCTCAAATGAACAAGTACCATAAAAACATTATATGACAAAAACTATAAAATGAGTAAAACTCAAATTAAAAGTAAAAAAAAAAGAAAAGAAAATATAAAACTAAAATTTGATTTAAAATATTAACAAAAACTATAATAGTATATTAATCACACTAAAATAACACTGATACAATACACTCACGAAAAGTGACTACTAGCAAATCTCAACTTTAATTATTTAATTACAATCTCAATATTATTGTCCAGCTCTAATCTGCTAAATGTGACTATAAGGCATGAAGATATTAAGATATTATAAACATTAACATCATGACTTTCTGTAAAGCTGAAACTATTTGCATTGTGCTATATAAATAAAATTGACTAAAAGTCACTTTTCGTGAGCAGACAGGAAACTCTAGAGAAAAGTTAACCAGAGTCTCATCTATGCTGCACCATAAACCAACGCTTGCATAAAAAGACACGGATTAAATGACTCTGATATTCAAACCAGCATCACACTGTTCATGTATTGTATTCAATTCCATCATTGCTCTGTGGAAGAGCAGGCTGAGAGACGTTCACAGATTCCCAAGCTGAGCACCGACATCAGCATCGGCTCAGAGAGAGAGAGAGAGTCTGTCTGAACTCTGAACCATCGACTACAAACTGCTGAATCATCTCTCAGAGAACGACAGAGACGGACTGAGCTCCACCCTGTTCATCCTTCATTAGTTCCTACACCAATAAACCCCGTCTGGCCTGGAACAAATGAACAGATCCTGCTTTAGATGAGTGTTCAGTGCATGCTGACAAAACGCTCACATACTACAAAAGTTGTTTCTGAAATCTGTTCTTGACACGTTACGATGTTTGAAGATGTCCTGGAATGACTGATCCGCAGTGAAAGCACTTAACCTGCCTGCTGACCGCAGTAAAAACACAGACCTGATCAATGGGCTTCAGTTTACCAACACACTGTGCATTTCCTTCCACAACAACACCACATCCTCATCTGAGGTCTGGAAGATCATGACTGAAACCGGCCTTCAAACAAAACCCTGTGAATCAACACGATCCGAACCCAGTCTGAACTTAAAACTATCCTTTTCATTCATCAAGGACGCGTTAAATTGATGACAGTAAAGACATTTATAAAATTGCTATTTCAAATAAACGCTGTTCTTTTGAACTTTCTATTCATCTGTGAATCCTGAAAAATAAAATGTATCACCGTTTCCACAAAAATATTGTGCAGCACGACTGTTTTCAACATTGATAATAATCAGAAATGTTTATTGAGCAGCAAATCAGCATATTAGAATGATTTCTGAAGATCATGTGAGTAATGATGCTGAAAAATTAGCTTTGATGACAGAAATAAATTACAGTTTAACAGATATTCACACAGAAAACAGCTATTTTAAATGTAATAATATTTCACAATATTATACTGTTCTTACTGTATTTTGATCAAATTAATGCAGCCTTGCTGAGCAGAAGAGACTTCTTTCAAAAACATACTGACCCCAAACTGTTGAACAGTTGAGAGAACTGATATTGAGTAAATCAGATGTTGACTCAGAATTCGGATTGATCTCGACCTTTTAACACAAACACACAGCTCTTACAATCATCTACAGATCTTCAGCACAACTGTAGAGTTCGCAGAGTTCATGTGTTTGCTGCAGGTGAAATCTTCACTCGAGGTCACATCAACACACGCGTCAAAAGACAAGAGTTATCACACACACACATACACACACACACTCACACACACTCTCACACTCACACACACTCTCACACTCACTCACACTCACACACTCACTCTCTCACTCACTCTCTCACACACACACTCACACACACTCTCACACACACAC